GGAGCGGTCGGACGTGCCGAGGGTCGCCGACCCCTCGTGCGACCTATGGGGCGCGACCTCGCCACGGAATTCCGTTAAGAGGGACCTCGATATCGCGACCGAGTTCTTCCTTATCTCGCAAATCCTGCGAATTGAAGGAAAAAATCGGCGAGGGGTGACTTTTCAGGGGGAGGGCGCGGAAGTTGAGCGCCCCTGTCGGCGGGCCGCATTCCCTTTGCGCGGCCAGCGGCGTAGCCGCGTGTTTACCCGCGGGGCGCGGAAGAACCGCGTCTTCTCGATTCGTTTCGCGAAGTCGACGCCGACCGTCTATTATTCCCCCGGTCGCCCCCCCTCGGCGCGTTCCGCTCGTTTTCGGCCACGAGAGAGAGTCTCGCCCTCGGCACGCGCGCGCGATCATCTTTTTTTTTTACCTTCACCTTTACCTCCGACCACCTAGGATTATTTATACGGCCACCGCCCTCGAGCCTCGTCCTTCTGGAAGCCACCCTTTGACCTTACGTCGACGCTCGGTGCGCACCGTGGAGGAATTCGAGGACCTTCCGAAGGACCTTCGTCTCCCTTGCGGAGCCTACGCTTGACCCAAATAACCCGCGATACGGATTACCTCGTAAAATCGGACGGTCGAGGCTCGTTAAACGCGCGACCTCCGCCGCGGCCATGATGGCGCTCGCGAGGTCGACCATCGCCGGGGTGCCGGTCGCGGATCGCGAGTTTCAGGTGAAACGGGGAGTCGGACGAGAAAACGCTCCGGACAAAAGTTGCGCGGCTGGACGTTCCGCGGAGATCTCGTTCGGGACATATTTCTCCATCTCCCCCAGGTGGGGCGCAAACCCGCGGAGAAGGTGCTCCCGCACGGGGAGCGATGATCTCGCCGGCGCACGCGGCCGTAAACAGGGAGAGCCCGCCGGCGCGGGAATATATTTCGGGGAGCCGACTCCTCTCCCCGTTCCGCGACTCCTGGAGAAATCCATACCACCATACGCCACTCCTCGGCATTTCCCAAGGGATGCGTTTCCCCGATTCGGTTAATAGTCCTTCCTGATTTATCGGCCGACTCGCCGAGGGGGGTGGAAGCCTCTCTCGCGAAATTAACTCGCGCCGAACGTCATCTTCTCTGTTTCTCCGCGTAAAGAGGAAGCAGGGGCCCCCCCGTCCCCCCGCATCAAGGGGGAAGCAACAGGGGAGATATCCCAAGGAATGCTCTCCTGCCCCCCACCCCCAAGGATTAATGATTTAATAAACTTCGTTACGAGTTAACTCCAGCCAGGTAACTAATGGAAAGGGGAGAAGAAATCAGGGGGTGGTTTAGTTCTCGCTGCCAGAGAGGATCCCGAAAGGGCTCTCATTTGCCGGTTCCTTATCAAAGTGCCACCCCCTCATCCCCCAGGATTCGCGATTTCCGGTCGCGCCGCATTCGGGAGCGACCTTCCTTCCTTCCTGCTCTCCTTCTTTCGGGATCCTCCATCTCCGAAGGGGCGATCCCCCCGAGGGAGGGGGTCGCACCGTGGACGCTCGGCGTCGCGGCGGGGGTAGGTCGGGGGTCGTAGGTGGGTGACTTCCCCACCCCGCGCGACACCCCTCCTACCTGGACCACCTACTCCCGCCTCCCACCACCTACGCTATCCTGACCAACCGGCTGTTTACTGTTTGGCCTCCCGGGATATCGATCCCAGTGGCGTAAGAACTCGGGGGGCTCCTCGCCCCTCCCCCCTCCGACTATGCGCCCTCTGCCGCTGACGACCTCTCCCTCTCGCTCGCTCTTCCTTCTGAACCCTCCGATGCCTCCACTCGAGTAAATTGACTTCGGCCGTGTCACGCCCGTTTAATTATCCGCGCGAGGTTCGCCCCGAGCCGAGGATCGCTCGGGCGCGCTCGGCCGCGTTCGGCCACTCGAGGGGCCGCGGCGCCGCGGGGCCCTGATTGGCCCGCCACCCCCCGCACTCGCCGGCCGGCGGTGCAGCGGTGCGGTCGCATCGCCGCGGCGCTGCACTCGGCGCACTCGAGGGCGCCAATCGTCTCCTCTGGCGCGCACGGAATGGATTTTCACGGCCGTCGAAAGAACATTTACTTTAAATCAAACGCGGACCGCTCGAAAATGGACCCGGAATATTTCTATCAGGATATTTATTGTACTGAGAACAAGAAAGGATTGCATCACCGGGGCAAAAAATTGACCGTTGGGAATTCATCCGGTAATTTAGGTACCACTTATTTTTCTAATGAAATCTGGATTATGTCCACGTTCGAAGAGATTGCAAATGACTTTTTTGCGGCGGGTAATTATTCCTGCGGTAGGAGGATATATTTATCAGGAGGGTCGAATTGCCAGGAGGTGCAGACATTTTTTTTTTTTTTTTTCAGGCGCGCGTCCTCCTCGAGTCGGTCCCAGGTGAGGTGCGCGAATCGAGGCCCGGTGCACCGGCCCCGGGAGGAGGGGCAGAGGAGGAGCACGGAAGGGGGAACACGTGTCCCCCGGCGTGTCGAACACGCGTTATCGGGGATCCAATCTTTCGGGCCCTCGCTGATTCATGGACCCCGGGGCTCGGGAGGGATCGGAAACGGGCCTCGTTATCGCCCGACAGGGAGGACTTCCGGGCGCGTCGAGGAGTCGATTTTTGGGGAAAGAGTCGGCGATAACACCGAATTACCATATTCTACCGGGCGACCCCAGGACTCGCCTTGATCGTGGTCACCGGCAGATCCGCGCCGATAGGGCCGTCCGCACCTGCGGAATTTATCCCGGCGCTATTTCCCCGGGATTATGAATTACTACGTACCCGGGACCACCTTTTTCCCGAATTACTTTCCGCGCAATTAGGCGAGCGCCTCCGGGCCGCGTCCGCAATCCGCGACGTATCCTGCCGGCAAACCCGTCGGAGTGCGTCGCGGTTATTACGCGTGGCCACATATATTAGTAGGACGCGGAAACGCAACGGACGGGCCGGGAAGCTTTCCGCGGGGAGGCTGCGTTTCCAACGCACCGCCGCCGCGGGCGAGCCGCCGTTGTTTCCTTGAAACGTGACGGGATGCAAGGCAACTGACGAGTTGCGTTTTAAATTTCGAGAAGGGGCGGCGGACATTCCGGACTCTTCGCTCGGGGTGAATCGGAAAACGCGGTAGAGTCTCGCGCCAAGTACAAGGAGAAGGGAGGTAGGAGTTTCGTATTTGCTGGGATTTTTCGTGGGGGTTTATCGCGCACCCCTCGAGGGGCGGAAGGACCCCGAAGGAAGTCGAGGAGACCCGGGGAAAAGGAGTCTCCGTTCCTCGCCATGGGGATGAGAAGGCAATCTGTCGGCTAAGCCGACCCTTATTACCACCGTCGCACCCCTCGAGGAATCCGCGTGAAAATATACCCCGTTACCCTCACCCTGGGGGGTCGCCCATCGTCCTCGCGACTTCGACGTCGACTTCGCCGCGGAGCAAAATCGACCTGATCTTGCGAGACGTGCGAAAAAAATAAGGAAAAAATATGTCCGGTCTCGCAAAGGTGCAAGAAAAATTTATCTTCACCTCGCAGACGGGCAAAAAGTATGTCTTGGCGTTGCAAGACGTGCAGAAAAGGGTACGAGATGAAAACGGCCCGGAAGAGGCGATCGCCGAGTTCGCTCGTCGGCACTCTTCGACATCCTCGCGGGGGGTCTTCCAAAATTAAACCGCGACCCTGGGGCCTGGGGATTTTTCTCTCTCCTCGGCACCCTCTCCCCGGCGAAGGCGAGGCAGGACGTAGGTCGTAGGACGTAACGCGGGTTTACATAAGCTTTTAAACGAAATCAATACTCCATCCGAAATACGCCAGAGGAGGCTGCCCGGAGCGAGTGGGAGGGAGCGAGAGGGCCGCATGGGGGCCGGCGCGGGAGCGAGAGAGACGCGAGAGCGAACCCCGACTAGCGCGCTACCGGTGCCCCGACGTATCGACGCCTTCGGGGCCCCGACGCTACCCTAACCCTCGGCAGTAATTATGCGAACGTAGCGGTCCGTTTCCGGCCCCTAAGTGAATTTATAACCCGATTTCGAGCCCGACCCGGGACCCGATCGATCGATTTCCGAACTTTCCAGAGGGGTCGCTCCCCTCTAGGGGGTCCCTAACCTCCCATCTCGAGTCGGAAGGACTCCATCGATCGAGACAGATCCCGGTATTTGAATGCCGGTTCCCGACTTTCAAGGCAAACCGACTTTCCCCCCGTGGACGCCGATCCGAGCCCTTTCCTTCCCAGGGAAATCCTTTCACCGAGGAAAGGGAACTCCCGGAGCTTTGATGTTCCTTCTCGGGGATGCTCGTCGGGTGCGTCAGGCTGTGTCAGGGTGCGTGAAGGGGTGCGGGCTGTGTCGCCCGGTAGCCGAAATGGCTCTGCCGGACCCGAGCATTACCGAGTCCAGGCTTTGCCAGGGTAAAGGGCCCGGGGAAGGGCGAGGGGGCCACTTTGCGGCCGGATTGCGGAACGGCATTGACTGCTTTACATCGCGCCGGGTGAGCCAACAGGGGGATCCTCTTGGCTTGTCGATGACGGATCCCATCATTGACCTCCTATCTTCGAGGGGCGGTTGATTAGGGTTGTCGACCCGAGAGGTGACGAGATCCCCGACCTCAACCCCGAAAACTACGTGGACCTCGTCCTTGCCCGTCGTTCAAGAAATTCCGCAAAATTCAGTCACCGAAATTAGCGAGAATTTTTTTATATGAACTTAAAAAATCACGTGGACTGATTGTCACTTCCACGTGCCGTTCAAGAAACTCGGGAAAATGAAATCGCCTAAAATTAAATTCGGAAACATGAAATCGCTTAAAATTAAATTCGGAAACATGAAATCGCCTAAAATTAAATTCGGAAAAATGAAATCGCCCGAAATGAATGTTCAGAAAAATTAAGTCCAAGAGAATGAAGACACTCGAATTATCAGCGATCACGCCGGTGAGTACTTAGACCTGGCAGGTCGACACCGCGAAACTCTCGGTGAAATGTTAAAATTAATGTCGGGAATTAACGAAGAGCACGACTTACGAGGGTCGGCGAGCGCCCCAGCGACTGGATCTGGGCAAAGGAAAGGCGGCTTACCTGGAACAGAGAAACGACGCGAGAAGTCAGCATCGAGAGTTAGTAGAATGACAGGATCGACTTCGGCCCCCTTCCTGCCAATCGCAATTCCTCAATTCTCTCCGTGGAACCGATAATGGGCTTAACAGGAAGCGGGCCACAGTCGCTCCTGCCGTGGTAATGCCGGAATTACCGCTAATTACTAATTACCATTTCACCGTTTAGTCGCGGCGACGTTGTCCAATATCCCTTGAGATTTGTCGCGACCGCGACGATTTACCATTACGACCGCGGATCGTAGCGATGTATCGTTTCTTGCGATCGGACTCGTGGATGTCTTAGTTCGCGGGGGGTCGCCGATTTGAGGGCCCTTTGACAATGGGAAGCGTGTCAAAGGATGTCCCTCGCGACACGCACTGCGTGACGCGAATGGAATGGACGACGTGCGTAATCCCCGCAAGAAATGGTCATCTTTCCTGTCCGCCTCGTGGCCCCTTCCCCAGAGGGAATCGGAGGCGCCGAGCGATCGATCGATCGATCGGCCGATCGATCGCCGGCGGAGAGCGTGCCCGGAATACGGAAGGCCCCGAAGACAATGTACCGGAGACAATGAGAAATTACGGCCCGTTTAGCGGGCCCCGCAAAACCCCCGGGTCCCTTCCATTCGACTAAAAGTGAAATCAAGTGAAACCAAACGGACATTTTCTACACGCCGTTCCGTTTCACCAGACTTTCCCGCGTTGCCTTTCAGGCGCTCGAAACGTCCCCCCGTAGGCGTTTCCTGGGATTTTTTTCCGCCAGATCCGTCTAAATAATGAATCTCTCCGAATCTCTGGTTATAGATTGACGAGAATCCTTCGGGATAACGTTTTTATAGCGATTAATCGGGCCAGGAATAGTTTCCAAGCGCGGAGGTACGGGAAACCAAGATGGCGGCGCCCGTGGCTTGGAGCGGTCGAAAGTGCCGCGCGAGGTTTTACCGAGAAAGATACGCATTTCGAGCGGTGGCATGGCTTTCCGATGTAGCGCAGAGGATCAAGGCGATTATAGAGTATTAAATCCGCAGCCTGAGCGCGTAATATATGGTATATTTAGTCGTGATCTATATGGGTCGTGAGTCATCCCGAGCAGGGCGAGGCAGAGCGGCGTTCCAAGATGGCGGCGTCGATCGCCGAAAGTGGCGTGTGACTTTCCAACGAGTCTCGGGTAACTTGGTCACGCGTCCCGAGACTCCGGATAATCGTTATCCGGGATAATGGCCGCCAGCGAGAAGAGGTGCGAGAGGGGGGCCTCTTGCGAAACGCCATTGTGCCATTATGCCGAAGGCTGACGCAAAATCCGACGCTCGAGGCGCCATCTTTTCCCCGGCTGCCACCGACGCGTGGGCGCGGGCCAAAGAACCGAGATCCACGGCGAGCAGGGTGCAACGGGGACCGGGCCGAGGTGAAAAATGTCGCGGGAGCTCGGAACCGTACCGAGAGCCTGGAAAAAAACTCGGGGGCTGGTGGCCAATTTCTAATTATAACCCGTTTTCGTAGCCGTGGAACCGAGCGAAATCACGGCCTCGAGCGGCGAATCGAGCGGTCCGCTCACCTTGCCGGGGGCAATTATCCGGGAGGACAACTGGACAAGGTGCAATTACCCGTCGCCCGGAACGCTCGATCGCTCGGCTAAGGACTCGGGGCGGAATTAAGGACAATTATGAGCGAAGGAGCGACGGGAGGGGCAGGGATGGAACGACGTCGTTCCCGTTATTTCCCAGCGAGATACCGCGCGCTGCCGAAAGTGGAACTCGCGTTCAGGGTCCACATCGGCCCCGCCTCGTTAGCCCGACCCGTCAGGGTGGCCAGCCGAGCCTTATCGCGAGACCCCTCGGTGCTTAACCGACGATCTCGCCCAATGGAGGCCGGTGCGTGGGCATCGATGACTCCAATCATCGCGTAATCATCTCCCCGGTCGCGTCCCATCGCGATCGCTATCCGGACGAATCATCGCTAATAACGAGGAAAGCCGCCTAATTTGCCGGCGAGGGTTCATCGATCCGAAAGCTGAACGGCCTCCTGGATTATTAATAGACCGGTAGAACGTACCATCGCGATTTAAAGGTTAGGGCGGAAAGACCGCTTCCGAAGGTCCGGTTCGAGGTTAGGTCGCCGCGCGCGTTGCCGGGCGATCATGGGAGCGGCCAGTTATTCGACATAACCAAGCTGGAACACCCAGCTGATGCCAGCTGGCCGTTGGTCCGATCGATCGGCAGCGGTATCGGCTGCGTCCCGCACCCTCGCGAGGTCGCGTCGGTAGTGCAGTCGCGCGAGTCGCCGCCAGCCTTACCGGCCGGCGGGCGGCCGAGGAGCGCCGCGCCGCGCCGAAGAGTCCCGAGCTCTCCCGAGGACCTCCGAGCGCGGCTACGTAACGACCGGCGGGCCTTCATAAATCCCGCACTTTATCCCCGGCGCGAGGTTCATTACTGCATCCATTATATTTACGGGGATATCGCGTACGCGCTCTCTCGCGCAGGGAATTCCGTCGGGCGTCCCGACGTCACCAAATTCCTGCGGATCTCCCGAAACCCCGCACACTGGACGCTCAGAAAAATTGCTCGTCTCAACGAAGTCAAGGAAATCCTGCGATCGCGGACTAGAAAAGAAAAGAAAAGAAAAAAAAAGAAGTCACATCGAGGTAACAAAAATTCGACCCAAGTCACCGTCGATTTTTCTTCCCGAGTGAATTCTTTCTTAAAATTATATAAGAAGCAGGCACGTACATTTCTTCCGGTCAGCTGATTTTATTTCTCAGGATAGCCTTTTCCCGATTTAAATAGAAATAAAGTCGAGCCCTTTGAACACAAACAAATCGACTTTGCGCTTTCCAGCCGGCTGCGGAGGTTCCAGTCGCCACGAGGGGGAGGGCAAAGGACTCGTCTCGGTGGAAGGGTTGCTCGCGAGGGTGACATCCCTTCGAAAGGCTCCAAGATGGAGGGAAGCACCTCGCCACCGAGGTTGTACGGCGAAGTAGTACCTCGACGAGAGCCTGAATATTTCAGGACGCAAGGATCGATCCCCGGTCCCGTTTCGCCCTTTCGTCGGTTCGCGATTTCTCCCTTTCTCTCGCCCTTTTCCTCCCCCGCCCCCAAGACGCGGAAAACCCCCTCGGCCCGACTTCCGTTCGGCGTTTTGAAACGCGGCACTCGATGGCGGGCATCGAGGCAGGAAATCTCGGCTTCCTTCCCGCCTCGGCATTGTTTAGCTCCCGGCAATATCCATATTAATTCCCCATTAATTCCGCGGCGATTTCCCATTTGGAAAATTCGCCCGGCTTTTTCCGGCGCGACCGGTGGGGCGACGCCCCTGCGTCGCGGCGTATGAAAATATCCGAGAGCGTCGAACGATCTCTCTCTCTCTCCCTCTCTCTCGCCATCCCCGAAATGGATTCCATGGATTCTCCATCATCCGCCTCTCCATCCGGCCCGGCCGGACCATCCGCGCGTTTCGGCCAGCCGGTGGTCGATATAACCTCCAAAAACGATGCCGACCGTCGCGACGCGCCGCTCCGTTTCCGCTGCACTCCGCCAAATTGAAGGCAGAGGCCCTCTTCCGTCAACCCCGCGTCCCGATATTCCGCGTTGCTTATCATCAAACCGACGTGAAAAAGGGAGGAAAATGGAAATACCGTCCGGGAAAAACCTTCCCCGAGATGATTTCTATTTTTCTTTTTTCTTTCCCCTTTTCAATTATTAGCGGTTATTTCTAAGGCTGAGAAATGTTTTGTATGTCAAATATNATATATATTTTATATAAAATACCCGGGACTCTAGTGGACCGAACAACGGGGTGGAGACGTGGCTTCAGCCGAGCGCTAGTCACCCACGGCGGGACGTTTTACGGGCCGACCCGTCACTTTCTTTTCTCTCGTCGAAAGAAAGAGAGACGCAGAGAGCGACGAGGGGAGCAAGAGAGAGAGGGGGGAGAGAGGGGACCCGCTCGATTGTGTCCGACCGCGAGAACCGAGGTTAGGCTCGAAACGAGCGCGCCGCGCCCCTGAGACGCCTATGGGCAACGGCGCAGCAACGCCACGGGCAACCGAGGGCAACGTCGCGCTTTCGCAACGGTGAGAGGGCCCGCACGCACGTACGCACGCGTTTCGACGCTCCACGGCCGACTGGGGGCACGCAACTCTCTCGGCGCACTTTCGCGCGACGACGAAACGTCGAGTTTCGCGATGGCGGCCGATTTCGGGGTCGTCGAAAAAAAAAAAAGAAAAAAAATTGAAAAAGTGCATAAAATGTTATGAAAAAAAAAAATCGAAGTACTCGCGAGAGGCGACTGCAACCGACGGTCCCGTCGATCAATATATCCCTCGGGATCCTCCACCCGGGAGCGCGAAATTCCCCCATTAAGTGCCAGGGGATAATCGATCGATTAATTATCTCGGCCGGTGTCTCGTTTACCCTCCTTTTTTTATACGCGGTTTAAAGGTAAGGGTAAAAGTAAAATGAAAAAAAAAAAAAGGTGAAGGTAAGAGAAAAAATCCGGAAATCATTTGACCGACCGTGGATGCACTTTGGGGATCCGTCGAGGACGTTTCCTCGTCGCGGGCGATCGAGGCTCCGGACCAACGGGGAGTCTCTCTCTTTCTTGGAGAGGTTTCCGGAAATAAACGGAGCCACCGTTTCTCGGCCTCGGCGGGTATATTAACCGAAGTATTAACCGCGTTTGACGGCGATGTTCGTGTACGTGCGCCGTTCGCGTTTCCTACGTGGAGAATAGAGACCGACTTCTGCGGGGCTTTCACGCGCGGCCCGGAGGAAAGTGTGCAACGGAAACGCAGCGGAGCGAGATCGTCTCCTCGAGTGTCCCTTTATCGTCCAAATATACCGATAGATTGAAATTCATCCGTACCCTATTTGGTGGGAACGCCATTTGGAACAAGGCTCGACCGGAAATAAGAGCGACTGAGAAGAGGAATTTACGGGGCAGGTGTTTTTTCATTTTTTTTTTTTTTTTCCGCAGGTCACAAGTCAC